GGTTCATGAACTCATTATTTCCTAGAGATCCTTAAATGGAAGAGGTCACAGGAGGATGGTGTAACTTTGTCCTTAGAGTAAAAATTCTGAGTTGCCATTTTCTTGGGAAAGAATGAGAAGGAGAACAACAAGTGGGGTGGCTGGCTGTGCAAACAGAAACCTATCAACTCTTTCAGGCTGATTATTATAGCTCAAATAATTTCCATGCCCTTCCTGTCCCATAGAGGCCCCTGGAGGAATGCCAGGTAATTGGGCCACTGAGCACCCATTTTTTTTACTTAGAAAAATGGAAAAAGTGTAGGTTATGTCACAGGCCACAAGAAAAAGACTTGATTGATCTTTGGGTAGTCCAACCTCGGCTCATTTTTATTTTGTAGATAAAGTCTAAAACCTGAAACTGTTCTGGAATTTTTTTTCAACAAATCCTAATTACAAATTATAATTCAAAGATATTTTGTTTTGTTCTTTTCCTGATCTTATTTTCAATATACATTCTCTTTTACTGCTTACCCTTCCTGTTCTTTAATTCCCCCACATTTGACATCATCAGTTATTGCAGTTATTGAACAGAGTGCGAGGAAGGACTGGACTTACTATCCTGAGCATGATCTATGGGAGCTCATTTTCCTCACTCCTGTGCTAAGAGGCATTTCCCATTCCCTTTGGACACTCTCCCTTCTTGAACTTCTTTTGCATGCCAGATGTTGGGGCCACGAAGATAAATTAGACATGGATTCTGCCCTCAAGAAGCTATAGTTAATGCAGCAGATAAGACAATTATATAAATAGCTATTATACAAGTAGAAAGTGAGAAAGACAAATAGATAAAATGCTATAGGAATCTGGAAGAGGCAATTCTTCTAGAGGGAGGAATTAAGGAAAACTTCGTGGAGTAAGCCACATTTGAGCTAGCTTGAAGCTAAAGTTTATCCCTCAAATCACCATATAATTTGGTAACAAATTTCATCATAAAAGTATCTTCGGAAATACTTGTTTTGGGCTGTGGCCTTGCCCCTCTTCCCTTCCGGAGTCCTCTCCATATTTAACAGCAGTATGCTCCTCTAAGGTTGGCCCTTAGCTAAGCCTTGCTTAGCCTGGTTTCCCTGGCAGGGAAGGTGGGGATGCAGGAGAGCCATCTCACCAGGAAAGGAGGCCTCAGGCTCTGCATAGTTTAGTTTTGGTGGCAAGGCCCATATTTCCCAGCTTAGTGTGCCCAGGCCACGACCACTCCCATCTGCACTGATGCCTAGTGGGAACAATGCTATCTTTGGTGGAGTAGTGCTCTACACCTCATGGAATATATGAGGCCCAAGAAACTGTAGTTTTGAATTCAGTTTATAACTTAAAATTGTGGAAGTTGTATTTCAGCCTTTGAGGCAGCCAAAAATAGTCTTCATTATAGAAAATTGTTCTTGACAGCATTTTTTCAGAATTATCAATAGGAAAAAAAAAAAAAACCCACAAAACTTTGTAGTAGAATTAATCAGAACCTAACGAGGCAAATAGTGAAGAGACAGTGTCATGAGTATGCACCATGAGGTGAGCTTTTTTAAGGCTGGGAGCTGTCACCTGTCGAAGTGGTTTAAATTAGGATTTTGGCAGAAGTCCATTATTGTGACAGTCAGTAAATGTGAGTGAAACTCAGTCTCCTCTACATACCCAATTTAGGAATGTAGTCATTAAGCCCCCAAACTGTGACTCAGCTCAGAAGATACAGAGAAGAAATGATTTAACTCCCTAAGGACGTTTTCTTCACGATTGTTAACTCACAGCAAAATTGGTTGATATGTGGGATGGGAGACAAACTTGATAATAATTTTTGCATTTGCTCTCCATCTTTACTATAAAAGATTTTGACTTGGAAGAAGCTCAGTCTAGCATTTTCCAAGAACAGAAAATGAACAGCATTGAAATATATATATATACCCACACACGTATATATATATATATATAGCTGCAGTATGATTCTGCAGCACTGGAGCCAGAGAAGCATATAATAATCTTATCTGTAGGGGAGAAATGAAATTTCATGAGTGATTATGTTGAAACATTCCTGCAGACTTAAGTACTTAATATGACTTACATGTCTCTAATGGAAAATATGAATTATAAGAGAGGAAAAATTCTGACTTATTTCTTGGATCTGCACTGATTTATGCCAAGCATAAAGCCTTGGACCAATCTTTGTGCCTCAGATTTTCCATGGATGAGAATGCTACCATGAATGTATTATAGACCTTCTAATCATTTTTATAAGTTATTCTTTAATTTAAAACCTCTCAGAAAGTTTAACTTCAAAGAATATTAGAGCTTTAAAAAAAGGCTTAAAGCAGAACTGATTCAAGTAGTCCAAGACATTGACAGATGCTACTGAAAAGAGTTTTCAGGCACTAAGAGCCTTGAGTCTCCCTTTAAAGCTTGTTTCATCTTTTAATAATTTATTCTTTTCTTTTCTTTTTTTTTTTTGGTGAGGAAGATCCGCCCTGAGCTAATATCCATGCCAATCCTCCTCTTTTTTTTGCTGAGGAAGACTGGCCCTGGGCTAACATCTGTGCCTATCTTCTTCCACTTTATATGGGACGCCACCACAGCATGGCCTGACAAACGGTGCCTCGGTGCACGCCCAGGATCCTAACCAGGTCGCCAGCGGCGGAGTGTGCACACTTAACCGCTATGCCATGGGGCCGGCCCCAATAATTTATTCTTATAGTTTAAATGTTCCTTCTTGATTTAAATTTTCTCTGGTTCCTTGAAATCTATTCATTCTCTAAGTAGCAAATAATGTTATCCCACTCCTTGCAATGTAAGAATTTTTGTGTGACTAAAAAAGAATTCTTTATATTCTTGAAGACATTTATACAGGATCAATTAACCAACTAGTATTTATTGAGAACCTACTGTATTCTAAATATGATGCTTGTGAAAGGTGTATGAAAAGCTAGCAGAGTTCCAGACAGTACCTCTGAGAGACTTATTGCATTCTCATTAAAAAAACTTGTTGAAGCTCTGAGCTGAGATTCAAGATCACTAATCCCAATCCTTCAAAGCTAGATTCCCTTCTGCACCACACTGGGTGTGCCTTCTATGGTTGATTATCTCCAATGACAGGGACCTCACTGTCTCCTGACAAGCTGTCCCTCCCAATTTCGACATCACTTAGTTGCTAGAGAATACAGATTTCAATATAGAGATAGCCACAATACAGGAATGAGTCAAGTACTATAAGTGCTGAATCAGTTGAAAAAGACAAGTTCAGCATGAGGCCAGAGGAAAGAGGAATCACCGTTGGTTGCTGTGGTCGGGAAAGGGTGATGATTTATGGTTAAATAACCAGTATCTTTTAGTTTTCCTCAAAATACAATACAAATGGTCATCTTTATTATTGATGTCATATGCAAATCCTAATAATAGTTAACATTTACTAAGTGCTTACTATGTGCCAAGCACTAACCAATATGCTATATTGCCTCTCAAATAACACTGTATATAAGATTTTATAGCTAGCTTGATAATCTACTTTGAGGAACCATTTCAGCTATATATATAATTTCATAGAATCTGCACAACCATCCTTTGATACAGGTGTTATCATTCCCATTTTACCCAAGGAGACACTGTGGCTCAGAGAGTTTCAGCAACCCATATGGCAGCAGAGCCAGGCTTCTAACCCCACTCTGTTGGATGCCACAGTCCTAGTCTTATATGCTATGCTAAACTGCTTCTCCTGGAAATTTTCTCTCTTCTATTAACTTGTTAAAGAAAATAGTTGGCTGACTAGTTCTTTCTAGTCTTCCTTAGGGCTAAAATGAGAGGAAATCGGCACGCTCAGTGGGAGGGAAGCCCACGGGTGTTTTTACCTCTAGAGTTGTCCTGATGGTCATGAATTGATCCAACAGCCCAGGTCCTTCCCTCACTTCAGAGAGGAAAATGACATGTAGTCAGATGGACATCGTTTTTACATATAAATAAGGAATGTCCTATTAGGGTTACTAAACCCTAGTCCACTAGGGTTACTAAAATGTCCACTAGGGTTACTAAAATCTAATACTTATATCTAAATTTAATGGTAATCTGTCATTTACTGAGGTCTCTAATTTAATACTCTAAGAATCTGAGCTGCTTCACAATGAGGCAAAACCTCTAGAGTGACTGAGCGCATGCTGATAGTCGTAATTCTTACATTTGGGGGAGTGACTTCTCTTATAAGTACAATATTAGTGTTATCTTGAATTACTCATGGTTTCCAACTTCCACTCATCTTGATTTATTAAGATATTTTTATAATGACTGTTAGGTTTATTTTTGTCGATCATTTTGTCCTAGTATAACTGCTGAGAATGTAAAAGTGAGAATGAAAACTAAGAACTACGAGATAAAGGAAAGAATTTCCAAAGATTTCCAGGCCTTTTCGAGCCCTAGAAATTTGAGATGAACGTTTTGGCATTTCAGAATAATGCTAGATGGTAGACATTATTTTCCCTAATTTAAAGAAGAGAAAACTGAGGCTAAGAAGGATTAAGTGACTTGCTAAGGTTTCAGAGCTAATAAGTGATGGAAATTAAATCAAAACTCAGGTTGCCTGATTCCAAAGACTGTCCTCTTTCCATTACATTACACTGTCAATCCCAGAGTGTTTGCCTTCTAATTCTCACCTCCACATTTCTTTTCCTCCACTCACTTGGTGGAATATAACTTTAATAATGACTAACTATATGGCTTAAATTTCATTAGTGTTAACCTGAGGAAAACCAAATTCTGTTAGCAGGAATTTGAATATTACTAAGCTGTTAAGCTGGTGTGTGAATATCCTCTGTTGTAAAGAAATTTTGGATGTAATGGCTTTTTTTTTTTGCAACATGATGTAACACATCTATATTTCAGGGACTAAAATGGATACTAAGTAAACTGCTATGGGTAATCTGGCTTTAGATGTACACAACATTTGAATAAAGACTAAGGAAAAGAAAAGAAAAAATCTTTGACTTTGGAATTTCTTGCAGGCATTCTGCAAAGGTTCACTAATCTTGGAACACTGGGATGTCTCTTATTGCCCCCAGTTGTCAGATGAGATTATTCAAGTACCGGCCATTTATTGAATTAACATCACATCTCTCAGCATTGCTGGTTGTCCAAAGGTATATGCAGGAGTTAGAGCTCAGACATGTCAAATTGAAGCACTGCCAAAGAACCCAGGTAGGGTAGCAGTCAGGGGTTGGACTCATCATAGAACTTGTTTGCCAAGAAGCAATCAATAAAATTTTTTTTTCTTTCCCCAACTTGGAAATAGTTTTATGATTTCATTTGTGTCAAAGTAGAATTTTCAAAAAGTTAAAAACAATTCTCATACAAATATAAAAACTTGTCACAGATTTATTTAACTCATTAATGAGCGAACCAGCAAAACGGTAAAGTTAAGTTCATAGAGCATCTGATTGAACCAAGAATTTGTAGGAGCTGAAGAAAGAATGTTGAAATATGATTGTTAGGTTAGATCCAAAATTGCCTAATGTTCTACAAGGTAATAAATCCATACTCTTGGAGTTACAGTTTCTACCAGACAGAAATAATTTGCATCTCTCCTGGACAAAAATATAACAAGTAATAACATGTAACTTCACTGAGTTTGGGCCCTAATCAATAGTAAATAGTATGTCAAACAAAGGCATACTTCCTTATAGAATTCCTCAGGTGGCCGTGTTAACAATGTTCCAGCATGACACTGAAAGGACATACAATCATCTTTTGTTTTATTTGCAAGTATTTGATAATTTTTCTTGATATCTGTTTATAAAAAAACAAAAAGACATACTGATGGTAAAATCTTTGGACCACATATAAAAGCAAAAAGGAGAAAGTAAAAATCCCTTGTCATATCACCATCCAGACATAACCATTGTTGGCATTTTATGCTCATTCTTCCACAAATTTTTCTATATACAAAGAGATTAGAAATAGTTATAGAAAGATTGTGTTTTGTCTTGTTTTTTAAGAATAGAATCACACTTTCAAAAATACATTATAACTTACTTTCTTTTCTCTTAATATATTATGAACATATCTCCATGTCAAGAAATACAGAAATAATCCTGGTTCTGGATTAATATGGCAGATTGAATATACGCATATACTTTTGTTTCCTATTGAAACCCTACCAAAACTGTAGAAGATGGGTAAGGGTCCAGGTTGATAGGGGAAACAGGAGAAGAGAAAAGAGTAACAAAATTTTGGAAACTTGAAAATAGGTGGACTAATTTAGCAGACCAGAGACAGCTTTGAATCCTAAACCAACAGTAGAGAAAGCTGGAAAAAAATTTTTGATTTTGTTTTTATATCATCAAACTTGGCAGCACTGCATACCTCTGGAACTAAGTGAAGAGGGTGGCTAAAATAAAGAAGACTGGGTTAAGAGTTCTTGAGAAATAGATCCCTAGATCTCCTCCACTACACCATATCTCTGGGCAACTGCCCTTCCCCACCCCTCATCAAAAGATTGGAGATTTATTTCCTAGAGCCAGATTTCTTAACCTTGGCGTTATTGATATTTTGGATGAGATAATTCTTTGCAGTGGGGGCTTGTTCTGTGCACCGTAGGGTGTCTAATAACATGCTTGCCCTTTACTCACTGTATGTCAGTAGCACCCAACCGCCTTCAACTCCAGTCGTGACAATAAAAAATGTCTCCAGATATTGCTAAATGTCCTCTGGGGGGCAAAATTGCTCTTTTATCTGCTCTACAGATAGTTAAACAGAGGGTTGCTGGGCTGGGAGACATGATGTATAATTGAGGGCTTGGGTTCAAAAGTGAAAACAGGAATTAAGTGACTGAATGCCGAATGCAGAGACACTCAAGCACTTTTCCAACACAGCCTCCTGCATTTGGCTGTCAGATCTTTCCCTCCAGGCGGGAGATTGGAAGTCTCTTTTCTGGGGACTCTGACTAGCCCAAGATAAAAGACCAAAAAATATGCAAAATATCCAGAAAGAAGAAAACTAAAAAATCTTTAAAAAAAACCTCAGAAATTCGAGATTATTAACAACCTTTTCTCTTCTGTTGTGTGCACTGACAGCCTTCTATTTACTAAGGCATCATCTGAAGTCTCAAAATGCCCTGCATTCTAACTAGTCTAAAAATTCAGTTTCTCAGCTATTTAGTCTGTGTGGTTAGTGGATTAAGAGAGTGATACTGGAACCTCTTAGTTCCTCCATAGTTAATTGTGCCACAATGAGGAGCAGGAGGCAGTGGGGGAAAAGATATGGTAAATCATGACAAAATTAAGCTAGAAAGTTCACAGTAAAATTCTTTTTGCTTAATAATGTACTTGTTAAGAATTAGGGAAAACAGACGTCTTTCTGGTCAGCATCCTCTGGTTCTGGAAGTGAGCTGGGTCAGGGAACTCGGCACACTAGCAGCACCGAGCATGGACCCTCTGCAGCTTGAGCAGTCAGAGCTCGCAGGGCTCTTGCTTCCAGTGCACGCGGACATGAGGACACGTGGCCAACACATGGCTCCCTGGGAACTGCCCTCGCTGTAAAGCAAGCACAGATGGGACTGGGCTTTTTAGTTGCTCTACTAATGAGGGAGGAGAGCAGGAAAATGAGAAAAGGAAAGACTCCAGTGAGAACAGGAATTGGGGCAGAGGGTTTTTTTTTTTTTTTTCCGTTTTTGTTTCATTTTTGGGAAGGAGAAATTGAGAGAATTCCTTCTATAAACTGTGCAGTGGATACTGTCTTGCAGCTTGGAATCTGAGGAGGATGTTACATAAATATTATGAAATGAATCACTCTACCTCAAAAATCTAGGGTGTGGAAAAGGAAGGGGAATAGATTATTTCTGAACCTTAATTTAAGGGAGAAGGGTTTAGCTCTACTATCTGTGGGTCAAATGAGTATCCTGATTCAGAAGATGTGGTGATGATAATTTGGGCCGAATCTGAATATTACTCACCCAGAAATTATAAGGCTGTGGTCCAGTCTAATATATTCCACCTGCAATGCTTTTGATGAGCCATAACACACATTAGTGTCTGGCTCATCATTCTAGGGTAGGTTTCCCAAAAGCCTAATGGTTAATCTTGAATGGTCACCTTATCCATCTCCTGGAAGACCAGCTTTTCCTTGCAACCAGCTTACCTCCAAGGTCAGTGAGCAGTACTACGACCTCATCCTACTCAGCACTAAAATGGGAATAACATAATCTCTGCTCAATAGGACGTAGATCAGGACCTTTATCTGGGAGTTAAGAATGTAGCCAGTCATCTCCACCTCCAGTTCCTAGCCCCCATAAGTCCCAACAACATCACCTCAGTCATTGAACATCTTGAGCTTCTGATTTATAGGAAATGTCGAGTTCCTTTTCAACTTCCCCAGTATCAATAAAACCTAGCACTCTCAGCTCCACTCCTCCTGGAATTTTCCATCATCTCATTGCCTTTCCTTTTCTCTACAGTTCTGAGGGTTTTTTTTTTTTTCCAATGACATCAGATCTTCAGAGACCCACATAGTATAGCAGGAATGTCTGAAGGCATTTTCGTGAGAATCGGTTGCAGTGTTAAACCTTGGTCCTGAGCATTTTCTGGAAACAAGGCATACTTAGACAATGACATCTATTTTTCCAAACTTAAAAAGTGTACATTTCAAATGGAAGGGTTTTTCTGCATAATTCTCTCAACTTTACGTTAAAAACAAGAGCCAAGCCTTACGGCATGTTTTTTAGACTGTTCAAACATTTAAAATAAGAAACTAAATCCAGCTGGAAAAAAAATTTCTTGGGGAGAGTGATCTAGTTAATTCTGCAGCAGGTCTCAGTTCAGCTATAAATTCAAAAGCATGTTTTGTAACATGTGATGTTATTAAACCTTTGTTTCCAAATTGATGATGCCTTAGAGTGGATTTCAAGTTTAAAGCCAAATCCCTATACTGCAGCATTTCATAAGTTTCTCATATTGCTGTGACAGGTATTACTCAGGAAATTTTGATGAAGTTGCTCATCCAAACCAGAGAACTCTAAAATGAAAATAACAGCAAGATCACAAATTCTATTGGTGCCACTTGAAACTTACATTTTACTGTTTTGGAAATAGAGTTAAATCACTAACTTGAGTTATAGGCCCATCATGTGACAAGCTGGTTGAAGAGAATCTGCAAGAATCCTGATTCTGTTTGTTATGGACTGAATGTTTGTGCCCTCCCAAAATTCATATGTTAAAACCCTCACCCCAAATGTGACAGTATGTGAGGTGAGGCTTTCCGGAGGTAATCAGTTTTAGACGCGGTCATGAGGGTGGAGCCCCCGTAGTGGAATTAGTGTCCTTATAAGAATAGGAAGAAACTAAAGCTCTCTCTCTGCCATGTGAAGATACAGCAAGAAGCTAGCCATCTGCAAACTCAGACACGGAATCCGTAGGCACCTTGATCTTAGACTTCTCAGTCTCCAGAACTGTGAGAAATAAATGTCTGTTGTTTAAACCACTGAGTCTATGGTATTTTGTTATAGTAGCCCAAACTGACTAGTACACTATCCTTCCTTGGGATGGAGTTCATCGGAATATTCAGTACTTACTTTGGCTGTGTGTTCAGATTACTGACTCAGTGATGGAGATGTTATCAGCAAAATGCCATTACCTGCACATTTTGGGTATTTCTGGTTGTGTGCTGCTTACTGACCAAATGCTTGAGGACCTTCAGATAGGCTGCAAACAAACTCCAGATCCTTAAGATGAATTACTGCAGACTTATTTCCAAGTAAGTATGTACTTGAATATGAAAAGCTTTGAGAACTACTTTCTGGGAAAACCAAATATGTGACTATGGCATTTGTAATACATAGTGGCTTTCAGAGTTAGGAAGTTTCATTTTATTTTTTGCCTAATTGAAGTCAACATTTTGAGCTGAACCAAGGGAAGCTCTCCTCTAAAATGGTCTTTGTGGCTTCATATCCCTTTCCCAGTAGCCCTTCTACTTTAAGCACTTTCCTTTCCTTGAAGATGCAGATTTCCAAAGCCTTAACTCTACTCCTTGTAGAATTATTGCTATCTCTTCCTCTACTCATCTCTCAAAATATTTCCATTCAGTTAATCTTCCCTAGGAGTTAAGAAAATGGATTAAACCAGCTCACAATTAAGTATAAATTACTAGAAGCTACCCTAAACCCCATTTCTCCCAAAGCTATTTGCTTGATAGTTGTTATTCATTTAACTGGGGATTTCCTGTAGGATCTAGAGCTCAGAGTAAGGTATTCTGACTTGACTGCCACAGGCCAAATGCCTGTTCCCTCAATTTGCAAAATGTTTCCAATGAAATAACGGTTGGGTAAATAAGCAACCTATAAAGGTAGAAGGTCTCAGGTGTCCACTCTGTGCGTTTTTAAATAGAAAGCAGTTATATCTTCCATTGTTCAGTTTTTCTCCTTTTGACTGACAGTAAAACTGTGCCAAGTATTTTAACTGACGTGATGAAGTAAACTTCGGAGTGTTCAAAATGAGAATTCTTGACCAGTCCCTGAAGGTCAGGTTCTTTTCTGCAGGCTGGCAAAATGAATACTAAGAATTAATATTATCAAAGTATAAAGTGCATAATGTGTTCCAAGCATGTAGAATTCACAGAGGAACTTTCTTAATTAAGCAGCCCTGGCATCACATCAGCTGAGCCATGAGATATAGTCACTTGAGGCCTAAGGAATAAAATGGTTTCTGATCTAAGGCTGTCTGTTAAAATGAAATGAAAAACAAAACAAAAACAAAAACTATTACTTGTAAAATAGGCACTCCTTCTGGGTGCAGGCCTGCCTGGAGGAGGGCAGCCAACTGTAGCTGGGTCAGAAAAAAGGGGGCAGGTCCTTGAAAATTTTTGAAGATGAGTAGAGACCCAACCCTTCCTGAGAGGTCTGGAGATGACTGATATGGATATTAACTTCATTTAAAGAGGATACCATGAAATAAGGTCCTAGGAGTCCCTGTTGACCTTGTCATATCATTAAACGGCCAACTTTGGGCAAGACAGCAGTGAGTGAATAACATAGTATACAAAGGAGTTTAGCTTCTAATCTTTTGATTGTATTTTGCCAATCACTATTTTTGGGAGGTAATAATATTGAACTTCTAATAAGTGGGATTTTAAGTAGAATGAATGGAGACTTTCTGGCAACCTAATCTGTGAACCTAATCATGGTATGGGATGTTAAAGAGTGATAAATATGGTGTTTGGTCAAAAAGACCAAGATATCCAATAATATCCAAATCCTACCTTTGACTACTCACTCCTCTTGCAAGGTCACTAGATAAAAAACATGCGAAGAAAACAAAGCAAGGCAAAGTAAGATTTTACTACTAGCTGGGCTTGGCTCCCAAAACTCAATGTAAAATTCTAGTTAACCAGCTGGATCTATGGAAAATTCCAGGGCAGCCAAAAGGCCTCTTTTGTTTTCTACTGGCTGGCTGTCCCTATTAGCAAGAAGCAGACGTAGACTTGGCGCTAATGCCTAGAGGCGAGCTGGCTTGTCTGCCCATCTCATTGTCTAACGAGGCCAAACTAGCTTAGTCTCCCTTATAGCTCCATTCCTGCTAAGCTCCGGCAGAAAAGAGGCCTAGAATCCTCTGATTCTTTGTCTAGCAATTGAGAAGGGCAGTTCCCACAGCAGAGTGGCTTGGAGAGTCCCAGCGTTGGGACTAGTAAGGCTCCAGGAGCATCTGTCTTGACATTCAACATCTAGGAGAAGGTGCTGTTTGTCAGTCAAGGAGCTCTCCAGATACCTGAGCCTCAAAACTTTGATTAGAGAAGTGGTAAGGCCTGGCCACAAGCAGCTCTTTGGGGTCAGCTCTAGGGACTGTAGAGCAGCTTCCTTCTCCACTTAGATCCTCGGGTGGAATTGGAAATGGTGCACAGAGTATGTGGACCGTTCAAGACTCAAGCTCATGATGATCTCTAAGCCCTTTACCTATGTTCACTCTAAAAAAGCCCAGTTGTTTGCTCTTACCAGAGCCAATGTGGCTCCCTCAACTGCAGGGGCTTTATTTTGTCTGGGTGAAATGGAACACTTGGTAGTTGGGATAAAGGAGATTTTTATTGCTTGGGAAGTGGTTCAATGACTTTGAATCACAAAGCGATGGACTGCCTCACATCTGATTCCATTTGAACATGAAAACATTGTATGATGCAGCCGTTAAAATCCAATTATAGCCCTCAGAAGAAACTGTTCTATGTACAAATTCCCCATACTCAACAGAATCTGAAAATACTGCAACAGCTTTGCAAATCAAAGAGGTCTGTTCAGCCCACCCTTTCTGAACCAGGGGAGTAGCAAACTTTTGGTCAATGAGCAAATCGGCTGTAGCTTTTTTGCAAGAGAGATTCCAGCATGAGATATGCTGTCATTCTACCAACCCCAGAGCCTGAAGGGATTCCAGGAAGTGATTCCAGAAGCTCCATGTGGAGGCACAATAAAGGCTCCTTTAATTCAAGGAGGAATAAGTAACAGTTATGACCATAAACATGACAAAATCTAGCTGTCGATATTTGAAGCAGTTGTGTACAGCCAGCCTTTCAAATTATGGCCTTCTGTGGGGAAAGAAAGAAAGGCAATGGAGAAGAAAAGCATAGTGGGAGAGAGGGAGAAAGACTCAAGCAACGGTTCCACAATACAGGAGGGTCTGAACTAGAGAGGCAGAAGAGCCATTAAGTCTATAATTAGCAAAGAGTAAAGGGACATTTCCAACATTTTTGTGTCTGGATCCCAAACTTTCAACTCTAGAGAGATCAGCAGAGAAAGTCTCGGTGGCCTTCAGAGCCCCAAACAGCAGTATAGAGATTCCTTGAAGGCCTTCTTTGGCAGTTGCTGGCAGCATCTGTGTTTCTAGGAAATACAACTCTTATTAGAATTCTCCTCTCCAGCTCATGGAAAGGTCTTTGTGGAAAGGCTTTTGTTATCTGGAGGTATTGACTTTTATTATTATTATGAACAAATAATATTATTTAACAATTATTATTTGCCATGTACTGTGCTAAATCCTATTTTGTGTTTATTATCTCATATAATCCTCACAAATACTCTATTAACATAAAAATGAATAAGGAAACAGGTTTAAACAGGTTAAATAACATGCCCAAGATCATACAAATAAAAGGCAGAGCCATACTTTGTAGCTGGGTCTTAATCATTACTATGCTGCTCTTTTGCCTTTAGATTAGTGATTCTGAAGCTTTTTAAAAGCTCTAACAGTTAAGGGATTTGATCAATAAGGGGAGACATGTGCTCTGTTGTGCCCAACTTGCTTGCTGATGATAAATAAGAGAGGCTGCTGATTACAAGCAGTCTTTGGTGTTGGCTCCAACACTCCCCCTTCTTCTGCCCACTCAAGAAACTAGAAGGAAATGTGAGTGAGGGCAGGTAATGTTATTACAGGGATAACCTTGAATCCCTTTAGTTTATAAAAACAAAAATCACTTACAAACTTGAGTACGTCATTATTATTAACCATCTAAGGTGATACTTCACAACTGTTTGTGGCATATCATGTTTGAAAATCACTGTTTTATACCGATCCAAAGAAACCTCTCTGACCAAGTTAAATGAGTAATGATGACTAACCATTGCAGTAGACTGGTTCAATTCCAAAATCATCTCATATAAGGTCTTGGAGTCACTTAGGCCAAGCCAGAGTGGAAGGTAGTCAAAGGATTCCATATGCACTCTAAGAAACTTAGAACACACAGTTATTCCTAAGTATACATTTGTTTTCAATATTTCCTAGCTCCCATGTATGACCACACTACAGCATCAAGCTATGAAAAAAAAACAAAAACAAGAGAGAGTATTGTTTCTGACAGGAGCAGTTTCTACATTTTCAAGTTTCCTGATACTTTTCAAAAGTGCATTTGTGCAAACACACAGGATGCTGTGAAAAAGAACTCATAGAGACTTGCTGGTAGTCACCATGCTGGTCTGTTCTCTTGGCCAGGTCCTGAGTCTTAGGAGTCAGTCCACGTGAGGAGGCCGAAGGTCCTAGTAAGGTGGTAAGGACAGCCAGTTCATGGGCTAAGGATTTTGTGAAAGGTAGAGAGGAAGTACCCTAGGGAATAGTCTACAATAGCATACAAATTCTAAAAATAATCCCGGATTTGCCCAGGACAGATTCAGATTTTCAATTTTTCCCTAGGACCACCCTTGCTGTGAAAGTAGGTTGGACTAAGACAGGCCCTAGAGACATTAGACTGGAGGAAGCTGGCATTTGAGACTGGGGGAAGAGGGGTCTGAGAACTGATACTTTGCTCCTCTCCAGTCTGTAAGGATCACCTCCAATGGTCAGGAAGGTGCTCTGATATTTAGTTTCACTTAAGCTGACAGTGGGTAGAATGGAGAGCAGTGCTTACACTAAGAGCTAAGGTAAGGGTGGCATGGAGGCAAGAAATAAGCAAATTTAAGAAATGCATGTACTATCAGGTACTTCACCCATGGCTCGTGCTCAATATGCAACTCATTTTGATTCTGTCCCATCACATTGCATTTAATGAGTAGTCTCCCTATTCATCCTCTATTTTTATTCTCTGTATTTGATACCAAACCTCTTAATCTCAAGTTTGTGTGCCCAAAGTGCAGTAAGCCAATCACTGAGCCATCTGTGCTTGGAGATGGAGAAAGCTTTATTTGAATTGGCCAAAACGAGAAGGCGGGAGGACAGGTTCTCTCAAATCCACCTTAACAAGAGAAGAAAGCAGGTGGGTTTTATAGAGCTAACTGACTAGGCAGGAGGAGTTTCAGAGAAACAAAGGGGTCATCTTTCACTCCAGAGAAGCCCTTGGGCAATCTGACTTCTGGGCTTCAATGGCAGCTGGGGGTTGATCATCCAGTGATTGCAACCATCCGGAAGGCATTCTCTTTCTTCTGCAGAACAAGCTGACAAATCCTCATGACCCCTGAGTCACCCCTCAGGTTAAACAAGAAAACAGCAAATTGACAAGATTCATCTAGGTCTGTGTTGGGAACAAGGCTGAAAGACAATCATGTTCTTATTGAATATCTACAGTAACCCTCAGATACCTGGCTTCATATTGAGGAGTCAATATCCCCGACTTTCTTTTTCTTGTTATTTTCTCAAACTCCCATTATTTGCTAATTGTTTTTATATCACAATTACCATCTAATTTACCCCAGCCTGTAGCTGACTAAGGAACTGTATGACCCAATATTTATATGTTCCCAAACTTAGCATTAAGAGAACTCATCCTCTTACCAGTTATCTAGAACTCTCAAAAACTGTTGTTATTCTGAGGTCAAAGGTTACATATAATTTGATCAACTACTTACAAATCTTTTACTCCCCAAACAAATATGTCCTTTTCCTATAGGTCAAGACCATTGTTGCCTCTGACTGCAGTAGTCTTGTTATCATCAGTGGCATTAAATCATTACCATCAACTGAACAATAGTATGTGTGTCCAGAGCTCTGCTGTTTGGGAGACGGGGGCAGGACAGTGTTGGAAACAGGAACCTAAGAATGCCTCTTCTAAACCAACAAACCAGCAGAAGACAAAAGAGCTAAAGGACTTCCCTTTTTGGTGTAAGCTGCTGAAATCTCGTTTCGGCTGTTACCACTAGGTTTCAGGGAGATACAAAGAAATGTAATATACCCTTAAATAACTTACTATCTTCTTAAACAAAAGGAAAATAACAAAATTTAAACTTATAAACAACTAATGCCATGAGGCTATGTACTGGAAAGAAATTAATTCTACGATCAACTTCCTATAGAAGTTCAGAGGAAGAAGGAATTGGGTTTGGGTCTTTATAAGAGGCTGGATTGATCTGTATTTTTGAAAGATGGACAAAGTTTAGACAGGTAGAGATGGGGTGAAGGGTGAGTAACAACAGACCTCTGCTGCTTAGAATAGTGTTTTACCTGTTTGAAACTGATAGTGCCAATGTCTTATGCTTCAGATTCTCCCAACATTTGGTATTATGTTGTGGTAGGTCCTTAAGGGAAAACAATCTTGCAGAAAATACCTTCAAAGACATGGAGATCTCAACTCCATAGAATTGAAAAAGCAGAAAAATCATCAGGAGAAGAAAATGGGGAACGCTAAAGATGTAACACTATTATTTTGCCTAATATTGTCCTACTTAATATGACATTATTAAAGGACATATAGAGATTATATAAGAAGTTTAAAACATAGGACCACACTTTCTTAAAAAGATTAAAAACTTAGCAGAATGCAAAACTTTATCTTTGACTATAAACTCATCATTTTTGAATTTGAGAATGAGTATTTCTCTAAAGAGAAGATACTTGTTTGCCAAGTTTTAGTCCACAGGGATTGGTGGCTCAGAACTAGAAATTAGTATAGCAATTGCTTTTACTCAAATTGTTCTTTAAACTTGTATTAGTTTTGTGAGTGCAAATATATAAGCCAAAAAGCAATGTGGTAAGACACAGAATTAGCAACACTTTGGTTGTCTCCCTGTTGAGTTTGGTTACAATTATTTTAATACATCTAAGATTTGATTCTAGTGAAACAGCATTTTAAACAACTGGTGTATCTTAGCCTTTTCCAATTTCATTGCCCTACCTGAGCTCATACAGCCACTGAGCACAAATTTAACTCCAAGCGTATGGTAATAGTGGCCTCCATATCAACGACTCAGTTTCCAGACTTTCACAATTAATAACTCAATATAATATACGGCAATGGTGAGCAAAGTAGCCCCTTCATGGGCAAACATTATTACTCATTTCTGATACTAGAGAAGTTGCCAATTATTCATTTCCTTTTTAGTACTGGTCTCAAGATTCAAACCAACTTCCTAGGAAAACCCTTCTATCCTCAAAATGGCGTTGTTTTCAAGTTAGATATACTTTTTTCTGATGCTGTGATATTGTGATTTATAAGAAATATATATGTCATTCAGATGACCAAAATGTATTTTTTTTTATGGTTGTTTTATTTTTATTTATTTATTTATTTATTTATTTTGTGTGTGAGGAAGATCAGCCCTGAGCTAACATCCATACTAATCCTCCTTTTTTGCTGAGGAAGACCGGCTCTGAGCTAACATCTATTGCCAATCGTCCTCCTTTTTATTTCCCCAAAGCCCCAGTAGATAGTTGTATGTCATAGTTGCACATCCTTCTAGTTGCTGTATGTGGGATGTGGCCTCAGCATGGCCGGAGAAGCGGTGCGTCAGTGCGCGCCCGGGATCCAAACCCCGGCCACCAGTAGCGGAGTGCATGCACTTAACCGCTAAGCCACGGGGCTGGCCCCAAAATATATTTCTTACATTTTGTCTTCCTCCACAGTTCCTGGCTCACAGCTTCCAAAACCCTTGGAATTTCCTGAGTGATAAGAACAATGGGAACATCTTTTGTCGTAATATTTGGTCTCGTCCTCAGTTCCTGAAATTCAGGAGCCATAAAGGTGAAATGGGTGTCTCATTATTCCTAACAAAGCCCCTTTCCACCAAAACTGGGTTTATGTTAACGAGGTGACTTTTGGAAAGCACCTGAGGATGGGGGCTGGTTGCCAGGGAAACCAACCATGAATAGAGAGGTGGAACTTTCAGTCCCACTCGCTGATTTCCAGGGGGGAGAGTGGAGCTGGAGGTTGAATCAATCACCAATGGCCAATGATTTAATCAATCATACCTACGTAATGAAGTCTCCATAAAAATGCATAAGGACAGGGTTTGGAGAGTTTCCACGTGGATGAATGTGTGGAGATTTGGGGAGAGTGGCACACCTGGAGAGGGCATGGAAGCTCCGTGCCATTTCCTCATACATCTCTTCCATCTGGCTGTTCTAGAGATATCCTTGTATAATAAACTGGTGATCCAGCAAGTAAAGTGTTTCTCTGAGTTCTGTATGCAGCTCTAGCAAATTAATCAAACCCAAGGAGGCGGGTGTTGGAACCTCCGATCTATAGCTGGTCAGTCAGAAGCCCAGGTGACCTGGACTTGCGATTGGGATCTGAAGTGGTGGGAGGTCTTGTGGGACTGAGCCCTTAACCTGTGGAATCTGATGCTATCTCTGGGTAGATAGTGCCAGAATTGAGTTGAATTGTAAAACACCCAGCTGGTATCCGAGAACTGCTTAGTGATGTGGGGGAACCCCCCCACCCTCAACACACACACACCCATGTTGGAATTTTGGTCCAAAACAACTTTTAGATGCCTTCTTTGCTTCCTTTCTTACTTCTTCCTAAGAAAGACACTAATAGTATTTTTAATCATTTTGGTCACGGACGCATTTGAGAATTTGATAAAAGTCACAAATCCTCTCCTCAGAAAAATGTATATTAGATACAAAACTGCATGAATTTTCAGGGAGTTCATGGACCTCCCTGAAGTTCATCCAAGTATCCAACAGCAATCTGTGGACTCTGGATTAAGAGCTCTTGTTCCAGTGCATGGTCAGCCTTCACAGGTTGGCTGGTTAAGGTATTCTCTCATCAAAGAAACTAGAAATACCAGAGGGCTCACTCAAGAGCACTATAGAGCGCCCTTAGTGTTCCTACTCCATAAACATGCATAGTTTCCTTACCCATTCATTGTGTCTGTTAATCTCTGAACTGGCTGAACCAGAGAGCTTCTTAAGCTTTGGGATCCTGATTATTAGCATAATTACCCACACCTTCCCCCTCACCAATGCAAGAGAGCTGTGAAGTGAATCCAGCTTGTGACAGTGAATTCTTTAACTCCAAATTTGATCTAGTTTGAAAATTCTGCACTAGTGATTACTTCTGCAACTAGCTAATGCTAATCACTGTTATTACAGGGAGGCAGCTAAGAGAATGTCATCTAAAGTCCAGCAGCAGGAGTGCAGCCCTAATGACCCTCCACTTTGGTTGGGCTATGAGTGTGAAGGCAAGCCTCTTACAGAGCAAGATGGTATAACACCACTTGGGGAAGATTTAGAATTGACAGTGTAACAGTCCACATATAGTAGTGAAGAGGAAGTAGTATGACCTTCAGCCTTAAGGAGGAAGAACAAAAAACCTAGAACTTGGCAACTTCATTTGACACAAGTATTTTTACTAGCTGGATCTCAACAGTGTAAACAAGCAGCAAATCATTTCCTAATTCTTATTCCCACTACAAATGTTACTAAATACATCATTAGTTCTTCTAATAATCATGATTTAAAAAAATGCCAAATCATGTACTGCTACTATGTAAGTTTTCCACTTAAATTTACCTTAATCAAACCAGTAGTTTTGATGAGATTATCAAATCTAATGTTACAATTATATGAAACAACCCTGAGAGATGTGATGTTTTTGACACAGAATTTAAAGATTTTATTTATTCAGTTTTTTCCCCCCAAAGCCCCAGTAGATAGTTGTATGTCATAGGTTCACATCCTTCTAGTTGCTGTACGTGGGACTCAGCCTCGCGTTGGACAGAGAAGTGGTGCCTCGGGGCGCTCCCGGGATCCGAACCCGGGCCGCCAGCATCAGAGCGCGCGCACTTAACCGCTAAGCCACGGAGCCGGCCCTGACACAGAATTTAGAACCTCCTCTTTAGAAAAGAAGGAGAGATGGCCATATAAATCAGAGTAAGAGTCTGAGCCAGAGAAATGACGTTAAGGATCTGTGAGACTTTATTATAAAGGACATAGACATACATTTTTAAAGGAAACAAGACTTACTTGTGATTCCCAGACATTTAACAAGAGAGAACTAAATGCCAATCAACCTGGACTCTTCTTTGACTTAACAGTCAGGGACAAATTAAATAGAAGGAACTATCTGTGAATAGAAAGGACGTCCCTGCAATATCTTGGAAAGATCTTTTTTTTTTTTTTTTTTGGTGAGGAAGATTAGCTCTGAGCTAACATCTGTTGCCAATCCTCCTCCTTTTGCTAAGGAAGACTGGCCCTGGGCTAAAATCCACGCTCATCTTCTTTAACTTTTATGGGACACTGCCACCGTATGGCTTCAAGTGGTGTGTTGGTGCGCGCCCAGGATCCAAACCCCTGGCCGCTGCAGCCGAGCGCATACACTTAACTGCTATGCCACCGGGCAGGCCCCAGAAAGATCTCTTTTTAATCAAATTTGCTCTATGGAGGAATTTTTAAACTACGCAATCCCAAAAAAGATGTTCTCCCAATTTTATGTTAGGAGGTATGGGTTATTGTGTATCTACATATTAATTTTTAATAAGCTTTCATCTATGGATTTTTACCATTCTGGTAGAATATAACCCTCTTTAGATTTTAACAGAATTCAAATGATCACATGCCAGTATATCATTATTTGATATTATATAACACTGATGTTAACAGAGTCCAGGAGAAAGCACAACTGTTCTGACTGCCACCGACAAGCTTGTCCGTAATATACTAGATTAGCGTTTTAAGCCTTCTATTTCCTCCATTACTTATCTCTTAGATAGGGTTAATCACTATCTTTTTGTACTCCACAAATTTGAAGTAAGAATACAACTTGAGGTAGAGGATATGAAAGTTACTTTGAAAAGTTTTAAAAGAGCCATACAAGGTATTATTATAGGGTATTCTGTATTAACTAAATGCTTCTAGTAACTCTCCCCTTTCTTAGGTTGATTCTGAAAGAGTTTCTGAAATAAGGTAGTATCACTTAGCTGTGAAGTGGTTCCCGGAAGTGGACAGCAGGGGAAATCAGCTGAGTAGGAAGTTTTAAGACTTGAGCCAAGAGACTTAAGATGACTGTTCTAAGAGGGTGATTTTTAACTAAATTTGAAGATTTCTGGCAGCTGCATAAAAGTTGGCTTCTGACCTCTAAGTGTCTGACCCTGCACTGTCTCAAGCACACTATTGGAGAGACCTATAAAAAGAGACAACTCCTTTCTAAAGGAATAGTACCTGCATGACAAAGACCAGGGTAAGGAGAAACACACTCTGTTATGTTCTCTGGAAAACAAGCAGGGTGTTGAACTGTCAAAGCTTGCTCCAAAACTCTTTGTGTAAGATCCTCTTTTAAACAAGAACAGGAGACACATTTGTTCATTATGGGGAGACAAATTTTATAGCTACAGAAATGAAAGAAAAGGGGTAGGTGTTAGAAAAAGTGGGCTATGAAAAAGGACCAAGAAGTAGAGTGAACAGGTGGTAAAATCTTCAAGTTCTCAGTGCAAAGCACTCAAGGTATCCAAAATATTCCTTACATCTTCAGCTCTTAAGCTTTTGATATATATGGGTCTGTGTTTAAGAAAGCAAAATATGGCAGCTTTTCCTTTCTATTTGGAATTGACTATGTGATCCAAATACATATATATAATTCCTTTAATAATTTTAAATACAGTTGAGTGCTATTATGCTCACGACCTTTCTGGCAGTTAGTTGTTGACTAATTTCATAAACTTTATTTTTGGTCATGAAAGTGTTTATGTAATTGCATAAGAGTGAAAAAAGATTATAAAAATTGCTGCATTGCCTCACAGTTTCTTCTACTTAATAATTTAACACACACACACACCACAATCTCATAAAACATACTAAATGAGTATCATGCAAATTTGTACAAATTTTTATTTCATGAAGGGTGACTAAAAGGAAACTTGGAGATATCCCACAAAGCTGACTTTTGGTTTCATAAATAAGTTAAAAACAGACATAACTCTAAATAAATGAAATATTAACAATAAGAGACTATTATAAATCACAATATTTGGAAAGATTTATTAGAAATAAGTGTTTAAGAACTGATTTATTCTAATTATAAAATATATAAACCAATAGAAAGGCCTATTCAGTGTTGTATAATTTAAATGTTCCAGGAGTAGACAAGGTCTGAAAGAAAGAGAATTCATATAATATACAGTACACCACTATAAAAGTGAAAATCTATCTTCATACATCAGGCTATAAAATAGCTGAATGTTTCCCCCTCCAACGAGTTATGTCGTAAAAATTATGCAAAAAAAAAATTAAGAATCAGTAGCAACTGCATCACATTTATGATGTGTTTTATTCACAGCTTAAATTTACATTGATGCCATGACAAATAAGTAGAAAACACGTTACATGAAACCTATGGTAGAAAGAAGTCTAAGATAACTGTCCCCATTTACCCATGCCTTTGTATAATCTCCTCCTCTTGACTGTGAGTGCAAACTGTGAATACGATGAGATATCACTGCCATGATTATGTTACATTATATGGCAAAACAAAGATTATCCTGGGTAGGCCTGACCTAATCAAGTGAGCCCTTTAAAAGCAGAGTATCCTCCAGCTGGCTGCAGAAGAGGTCAGATATTCAAAGCATGAGAAGAACTGAATGCATCATCGCTGGCTTGAAGATGGAGAGGGCCACATGAGAAGGGATGCAGGTGGCCTCTAGAAGCTTAAGAGTGATCACCAACTGACAGCCAGCAAGAAAATGGAGACCTCAGTCATACAGTCACAAGGAACTGGATTTTGCCAACAATATGAATGAGCTTGGAAGTAGATTTTTCCCCCTAGCATCCAGGTGAGAACTCAGCCCAGTCAAAAGCTTGAGTCCAGCCTTGTGCAGACCCTGAGCAGAGAACCTAGCCATGCTGGGCTCTTGACCAACAGAACTGTGAGCTGATAAATGGGTGTTATTTTAAGTCAATACATTTGTGGTAATTTGTTACAGAGCAATAGAAAACTAGTACAATAGCTAAGTACAAATTTTGAAAAGGTCCCCCCAAGACAATTCACTAGTATTCATTCCAATTTGTTGTTTTCAACATCTAAATGAACAGTGGTATTTGCATTTTTGTAGTCATTGTTATGCTACTCATTGTTAAAAACTATAAACACAACTCAAACCATTCTTGGTCCTGCAGCTTTAGGGACTGAAACCAGCTCTGACTGTTAAAAACTATAAACACAACTCAAACCATTCTTAGTCCTGTAGTTTTAGGGACTGAAACCAGCTCTGACTTCTCAAACTTACAGTGCCTTTTGGGGCATCAGCCTTAATCCATTTTTCACGTGTGCTTGCTTGATTCAGGAGCCCTGAAACACGAAATTGCAAAAAGTTATATCTTGATTGACAAGAGCAATAATTTGACTACACAGATTCTAACAACACATCTCTAAAACTGAAAAACACCTTGGAACAGCAAAAATCTTAGTAAAGATAGCTTGAGTTGGGAAAGAGTTGCAAAGAGGTTACCTGGGCTTGTTCCCTCCTCTCATTTTCTCAGGACAACTCTGAAAGGAAAGCTGCTCTGTTTTTTATTTGTGTGGTTTTTTTTTTTTGGTTTGCAGGTTTTTTTTCTTTTTTGTGTGAGGAAGATCAGCCCTGAGCTAACATCCACGCTAATCTTCCTTTTGCTGAGGAAGACCAGCCCTGAGCTAACATCTATTGCCAATCCTCCTCCTTTTTTTTTTACCCCCAAAGCCCCAGTAGATAGTTGTGACATAGTTGCACATCCTCTAGTTGCTGTATGTGGGACGTAACCTCAGCATGGCCGGAGAAGTGGTGCGTCGGTGCGCGCCCGGGATCCGAACCCGGGCCGCCAGCAGTGGAGCCCGCGCACTTAACCACTACACCATGGGGCCAGCCCCTGAAACCTTCTTATTTTTAATGGATATATTTCACAAACAAAACCTCTAATACCACACACAATTCCATAACCAAATATTTAATGCTGTCAATATTCTTTAATTGTTTGTCTTCTCTTGACAAAAGTGCAACCTAAGACATCTTGACAACAAATTTTTACTGAGAAGAAAGTATTTCTGAGCTAGTTTTAATGGTGTCCATAATTATATTTTCTCTCAGTTACCTAGAATGATAACAAAGACAACAGTACTCTAGGTTTTGAGCAAGTATACAATTAATCAGTTTTGCCCAAGAAGTGTTCTGGAGAGACTCTTTCTTCCTCATATCTTTCACGTCTAATCCCATCCACTGTATTTTTCATCTCAGATATTGTAATTTTCACTTCCATAAATTCATTTTTAGTCTTTTTTATATCTTCCATGTCTTAACTTTATTCCAACATGAGGTATACAGTTATAATAACTATTTTATTTTCCTCCTCTGCTAATTCTAACATCTGTGTCTGTTCTGGGTGGGTTTCAATTGATATTCTCTTCATTATGGGTCATGTTTTCTTGCCTCTTTGCATGTCTGATAATCTTTGATTGGATGCCAGACATTGTGAATTTTATTTTGTTGGGTGCTGGATATTTTCATATTCCTGTAAATCCTGAGCTTTGTTCAGGGATGCAGTTAAGTTACTTGGAACAGTTTAAGCCTTTCATCTCTTGCTTTTATGATTTGTTAGGCAGTTCTGGAGGAGTGCTCAGTTTATGGCTGTTTCCAAGTACTAAGTGCTCTACCCAATGCCCCATGAGTTATGATTTTTTTCCAGTCTGGCAGGTGGCACAGGCATTATTCCTGAATGTGTGGCACCAGGTTCTACTCCCTCTGGTACTGTGTCCTATGAACTAGAGCTGTGTTGGTCGCAGCGGACTCTCATCATAGTCTGCTCAACTCAGGGAGTCTGTTAGGCTCCACTTTAGTTCCCTTTCCCTGTACTACAGCCTGGAGACTCCCTCAAGGCAGGAAGCAGGGGCTCATTTTGTTTATTTCCCACCTCCCAGTGATCTCTTTCTTTCATTGCCTGATGTCTAGTGTCTTGGAAACTGTTTTTCCATGTATTTTGTCTGTTTAAAAAATTTTGGTTTTGTTATCATTTTAGGTAGGAAGGTAAATCAGCCCTTTTTACTCAGCTTCTTGCCTGGAAGGCTCCGTTGTTTCTTTCTCTCTTTCTCTCTCTATCTTTTTTTCCCTCTCTCCCTTCATCATGCTCTTTCTCTCTCTCTTTTTAACTTCTTATTTTGAAATAATTAAAGACTCACAAGAAGTTGCAAAAATAATACAAAGAGGTCTGTGCACCCATTACCCAGTTCTCCCAATGGCGACATCTTACATAACCATAGTGCATTATCAAAACCAGGTAATTGGTTAGCAAAGTACAATTAATTAGACTACTTTACTCAGATTTCACCATTTTTTGCACACATTTTTGTATATTTTTGTGTATACTTTTATGACATTTTATCACATGTATAGATTCATATAACTATCATTATAATCAAGATACAGAACTGTTCTATCACCACAAAGGAAGTCCCTTGTGACATCCCTTTATGGTCTTATCCTCCCTCTCCTTCCCTAGCCTTTGGCAACCACTTGCCTGTTTTCCATTTCTATAAGTTTGTCATTTCGAGAATGTTATATAAACGGAATCATACAGTATGTAAAATTTTGAGACTGGCTTTTTTCACTAAGCATGATGCCCTTAAGTTCCCTCCAAGTTGTGTGTATCAATAGATCGTTCCTTTTTACTGTTGAATAGTATTCCATTGTATGGACATACCAGAGTTTGTGTAATCATTTACTGGTAGAAGGAATTTTAGTCATTTCCAGTTTTTGGCTATTAAAAATAAATCTATGAATATTTGTGTACAGGTTTTTATGTGAATATTAAGTTTCATTTCTCCAAGATAAATGCCCAGGAGTGTAATTGCTGAGTCATATAGTAGTTTCATGTTTAGTTTTTTAACAAACTGCCAGACTGAATTCTAGAGTGGCTATATCATTTTACATTTCCAACAGCAATGCAGGAGAGATGCAATCTCTCCACATCCTTGCCAGCATTTGGTACTATCAGTATTTTTCATTTTAGCCGTTCTAATAAGTATATAGTAGTATCTCATTCTGGTTTTAATTTGCACTTCAGTAATGGCTAGTGATGTTAAACATGTTTTTTTTTTTTTTTTTTTTAATTTTTTGTTTATTGCAGTAACATTGGTTTATAACATTGTAAAAGTTTCAGGTGAACATCATTGTACTTCTATTTCTGCAT